TAGGGTGGGTAGGGTAGGGTAGGGGTTGGGTAGGGTGGGTGGGTAGGTGGGTGGGTAGGTAGGAGGTTGGAGGAGGTAGAGAGAGAGAGAGAGAGAGAGAGAGAGAGAGAGAGAGAGAGAGAAACACGGGGTTGGGGGGAGGCGGGAGGCAGGCCTGAAGAACTGAGGGGAGGGGAGTGGGAAGAAGGAAGTTCTAACTCGGCTGTATTCACACACTGCCTGTGCGCCTCTCCTGCGCTAATACCTCCTCCGCCCTCCCAACCCCCACTTTTTTTTTTTTTTTTGGCGTGACGTCTCTCGTTCGCCTGTTGTCTCTTTCTGCCCATGATATGTCTTTTCTAGGTGCCGGCTCACTGCTCTGGTCCTGAAAGCAATGGAAACGCGGAAACCAGAATGCTTCTCGGCACGCGCTCGGATGTCGGTATCGCAGCGGGCGCTCAGGGTCCGGCGAGTGGACAAAGTCCCGGCATCTGGTTTGCGCTTTTGCCGGACTCAGTTTTCCAGGAGTACCGCTGGATGCTGGAGTCGACTAGCCCGCGGCGCAACCTCTAACATAAATCCTAGGTGGTGGGGGAGTGAGAGGGTAGTCTGGGGCGGGGTCGCTGGCGAGCTGGAAGGAAAACCTCAGTCCGTGGAGAAGGAGGCAGTTTTTGCCGAGATGGGAGGCGTGAGACCGAGGGTCTCTAAAGGACGCTGTTTCTGGAGGGACTCAAGCCGGGTCGCGGGGCTGGGAGGTGGCTGCAATGGAGTCACACCGCCCAGCCTACCCACTCTCGAGTTTTCTACCTGGGGGGCTCGCTCATTTTCGGTTTTGGCACACAAGGCAAGTATCTAGAGCTACGTCTGATGGTACAGTTGTTCCCGGACACAGGCGAAGCTTGTTTGTCTTTGGCTGCCCCGACTGCCCCGGAGGGTCACGTATAGGTCTCTCGCCCTCAAACCTGGCGTCGGAGGTGCACGTGGGAGCGCAGCCCCAGCCCCACCCCTACCCCCGCCTTGCGTACTCCCCGCGCCTTGGACCGAGGCAGCCCTTCCAGCCGTGGTTTCACAGCCACGAATTAGGCGTCCACCCCAAGCTTTCCAGGAGTTCGCAGTAGTCAGTGAGCTGAGGGCTCCGACCCGCCGTGTGAAATTGACCCTCTCAGGAGCTTTCTCATCGCCGGAGTTCTGTCCACACCTCCGAGAGAAGAAGTAACATTTGTCTTTCCTCAAACAAACCAATTTATTTAGCACCCACCACTCTGAACAACTAGTAGCCATTCTTTTTGTCTTCCCACCACTCATTTCATCTGAGCCTGAGAAATGCGATGTTTACACTTTGTCCGGGTCTCACGCAGGATGCCTTGGTGCTGGTTGGAACAGAGTTGGACCGAGAATGTTTTGACTGGCGTCGCTGTGACAAGGTCATCAGTCATCCTTGGATAGATTGATAGTACCCAAGTTTAAGGCAAATACCTCGAGGGAAAACCCACGGTGCCGCGGACCCCGAGGCTAACCAGGCAGTCTCTCTGCGTGCTTTGAACAACTCCATCGGGAGGACAGGATGAAGTTCTAGGCCTTTTTCAGTTAATCTGCTGCAGAACTGCTGAAGAGTAGCTGTTGCACGAAGGGAGAAGAGGCACACTCTGTCTTTCTCACAGTCTCCCGGTTCATTGCTGAGAAACGAGACTTCTCTGTTCTCTGGGAGAGACAGAGCACCGTGGGTGGGAGCCCGGATACTGCGGCAGCGGCCCCGCCGCCTTCTTGTTTTTGTGCAGACCGTCTACTTACAAGTACTCGGTCCCCAAAACTGACTGTCCCAAAGAACTCCTCCCCGAACTGCCCCTTAAACACGCTTGAAAATCTCGGAATTTTGAGACGCTAGCTGCAGCATCTGCTCCCGAGGCCTCTTGCCGCCCACACTCTGGGAAGCCCGGGAGTTCTCTTCCTAATAAAGACTAACTAACCATTTGTGAGAGCTTTCCACAAGTCAGGCGTGGGTAGGAGCTTCGAGTAAGCAACCATGCGGAGAAAGCATTATCACTAACCCCCATATTACAGATGGGGACACTGAGGCTCAGAAAGGTTAGGTAGGTGCCTGAGGTAAATGTCGTTAATTGGTGATGGAGACAGATACAAACCCCGGTCAATGAGGCACCAAGTGCATTTTCCTGCCCACCCTAGTCCGGAAGGACTGGCGCCTGAGGGCTGTGGGAGCACCTGTGGAGGAGATTTGGCTCCCCTCGCTGAGGGGACCCCGGGGAGAAGCAGAGACTCCAGCGGAACCCACCTCCCCCTCTATGCCTGTGTGTGGTGTCCCTGGCCCTACAGATTCAAGGACCTCCCTCGGTCCAAGGCGTACGGAGGTCTCGAGGCGATGGGACCCTACAGCCCAAAGGCCTTAGGGAACTCGTGTAAAGGAAGTGGGCGAACGTTAGAGAGGGCGCTCAGAGGGCCCAGGAGTCCAGAAGGGCACGAAAAGGTCTGGGGATGGGAGTGGGGGGAGCTTTGGGGGATCTGAGCATCCCGAGAGTCTCCCCAGCAGGCTCACGCATGATGCGGGGCGGGGGCCCCTGCTCGTAACCTGAGTTCCAGGAGGCGGGCAGGGCCTGGCTGGGGCATAGGTCAGCGAGCCCCACCCCAGGGCGCACTCGGGCTGCCTAGGCTGGCCAGCCGGCGCCCGGGGCCGCTTTCCGCTCACCCAGCTGATCCCGGACCGCTTCGTAATTGCCATCCCGTCACGTCCGGAAGTTTTTAGAAAGTGAACCCAGCAATCACAAGGACATGCACCCCTCAAATCCGCGCCCCTCTTCATTATTTAGAAGACCAATGAAACAAATCATTTCGACCACTTAGGAAGAGATCAAACCTTTATAAAAATCCATCGCTCCCAAATAGATGAGTGAATATTTGCTGGGAATTTGTTCCAGAGGAATAAATAAGGAGCGTGAGTGTATTAAATGCAAAGGAGGGGCACGGTGGTGTTTTTCTTCATTGATTAATGACCTCTAAAATAAAACAAGTGGGAAGAGGAGCTAGGATCGATAAATTAACTACCCAAATTCATCATTTTCTCGAGCAATTTTTTTTCCTGAAAATTATCCTTAGAAAGCCATTGTACCCTTAGCTTGGAGGGGAAGTGGTGGGTAGGGGTGAGGGTAGGGACAGAGCAGGGAGGGAAAGGCCAGAAGGGGAAGGAAAGCAAAAAGAGGATTCTGTCTGGGAGACTATCTGATTTCGTTTGACATACATTTTTAAAGTTTGCCTTTCCTATTAATTATTTTTTCCTGTGGAGGAGGGGAACAAAAGGTCGGTTGCCTTTGACAGGACTCCAATAAAGGATTCAGCAGCTCTCCTGTCTGCCCTGGGCTCTCCCTCTTCTAGGTTTAAGGTCATGGGTGGCTGAGTTAATAATTCATTAATATAGACATTTATTCAGAAGGGTTCTCTGAGATCCACTTTCCTGGTCTCCTCCCAGAGATTTATTTGCCTGGGAAATGGATGGCGGTGGGTGGGGGGCACTGCAGGTGAAAGAAGGGGAGGAGAAAAAGGAAAATGAAAAGGGAGGACAGACACAGCTAGAAGGAATCTTTGTTTAGCCAGATTAGTAGACAGGTCCCTCTAGCCTGCCATTAAAAACTTGGTTGAAAATGTGACATCCAAATGGCACAGGGACTCTGCCTCCAGTGGTCCTTTTTCCTACTTCTACATCTGTTCATTCACACTTATTCTAAAAGTTCCATTTCTCCATTCTTTAGGATGGGGAAGGGCCACCTGACTGAGGACTTTGGAACGCAGGCAAAGGGGGAAATCTCTGGAAAGAGACCACCCTAGCCTCCATCCCTATTAAGTTCCCAAGGGAAGAGCTTTGCAACTTGCCCAGAACTGGAATCTCAAGGAGGCTCCCCTCCTCAGGGCACAGGCAGCTTCTGGTGGATGTTCTATCTCCTCAGAAAGGGGCTGTGGGGACTTTAAAACAAAACAAAACCAAACAACATCCAGATTCCCATGAAGTTTACACTGTGGGGGGTAGAGACAAAGAGTAAACAATGAACAAGTAATTGTCAGATAGCAGTAAGTCGAAAGCACTAAAGAAAGGATCAGAGGAGGGATGAGGGCAGTAGGTGCAGTAGGTGGAGTGTGTTACTATTTTAAATACAATGGTCAGAGAAGGCTTCTCCTGTAAGGTGAAATTTGGAGAGAGACATAAAGCAAGAGGAGGCGGATTTTGTGCCCAGAGTGGGGCATTCCCTGCCCTAACCTGTGACTCAGGAGTGAACAGAGTAAAAGGGGCTTCCCCTGAAGAAGCCCCAAGGCACTGGGTAAGGCTCCTGCCTCCTCAGCCTCTGGCCGTACTTGGCTCCCTTTGCTCTCACCTGTTCCCACAAGAGGCTGGTGAGCTACTCAATATCCTTTCAAATACATCTGTTCACTGTTTACATCAGCTGAAGTCACCTCTGCTGCTGGGGACTTAGGACTCTACACAGTGACTTATTCCAAACTGGGCCTCATTTTCTCAATGATCAAGCAGAAGGATGGGAGTCATGTGACTTTCTACTCAAAGCTCTTTATCAAGCAGCTCCCAAATTCTGCCCTTCCTCTCTACCACGCTTTATACCCCCACCTTCTGTATGCCATGAGCCGAAGGGGTGTGGTGTGTCAAATGCATTGAGAACCTGAAAACAAGAAAACCTACACCATTTATTTGAATCACTGCCATTTTCCCACTGATTGCATCTTCACTCAAACTTGTCCCAATGTCAGCTACCTTCTGAAGCGAGAGTGTGAAGAGTAAGATGCAGGAGGCAGAAGGAGCTTTTAGAGTTTAGTCTGGAGAAGTCAGCTCTCCCCTGATGATGCATCGTGAGCCTGGCCGTTCTTGCAAGGCCTTGGCAGTTTTATACATGTCTCCTCTGCTTTCCTCCTGTCCCAACAGTATTGGGGAGGCAAGCTCCTCACTTTGCCAGGTCAAAGATGGTCTCTGGGGCTGAGACAC